GGCTGAATATACCTTTCTTTTGTGTCTTCATATCTCAGTCGACTGTATTTTACGATTGTGACGTCGTAGTGACCGCAATATTTGGCTTAATATACCCCGTTTTTGTGTCCCTATTTTAATAGGGACATAGCAATTTCACTAGAACCATATTGGGATTGAGATTTCAGAAGGGACTTAGCCATTTTAGTAGGGATATGGTGAATATCACTATTTTAGTAGGGACATAGCGTACATTGGTATTTTTAGGGATATAGCGAACATATCCCATTTAGTTGGGACGTAGCGGACATTGTATTTTCAGTAGCGACATAGCGGACATAATCATTTTGGTGAGACATAGAGGTCATAGCCATTTTAGTGGGGACAAAGCGGTCATAGCCATTTAAGTATGGGAAATAGCGGGTTAAGTTGGGACATAGCGGACATAACCATTCCAGTGGGGACAAAGCGGACTTAACCAATTTAGTAGGGATATAGCCATTTTAGTAGGGACATAGCAGATATGGCCATTTTAGTAGGGACATAGAGAACATCGGTATTCCAGTACGGACATAGTCATTGTGGTAGGGACATAGCGGGCATACCCCATTTATTTGGGACGTAGCGGACATTGTTTTTTCAGTCGCGACATAGCGGACATAATCATTTTGGTAGGGACATAGCGGTCATAGCTATTTAAGTATGGGAAATAGCGGGTTAAGTTGGGACATAGCGGACATAACCATTCCAGTGGGGACATAGCGGACATAACCATTTTAGTAGGGACATAGCAGGTATGGCAATTTTAGTAGGGACATAACGAACATCGGTATTCTAGTACTAACATAGCTATTTTAGTATGGGCAAAGCGGACATCGGTATCCTTGTAGAGATATAGCGAACATTGCTATTAAAAAAAAATATTTCATTGTGTTTCCTTCGACAGATATTCCATGAATTTTCATCCCATTTAAATAAACTTTGTTGGATTCTTTGATTTTAAATAAGTTTCACTCACTCAACATATCTTTTTTATAAATTTTATAATTCATGTCTAACAGCCTCGAGATGATCTTCGTGCGTAAAGATCCTATTGAAGTATTTTATCTATGGCCCATACATGCTTTATCATGCATATCTCTGGAAGTTGCGTATCTTGATATGATATGCTTATATGTGCTTCATGCGTGGTAGAATGAAATAAAATCGAAGGTTTATAAGGCGACGCTCGTGTATTTGGACGTGAATCGGTGACGTAAATATACGCTTTTTGTTCAAACCAGTGTCTATGCTTCATCGACATTGTGGAATTTGAATTTTTGTATTGCTGTAAATCGCGTATACTGAAAATTTATTTGTCAAACTCTGTTCAGCGTATCGTCTTGTCTATAATAAGGGGTCGTCTTATTTGAATGTAAGCGCATTGGGTGCTCCCGAAGTATGCGAACCAAGATGGCGGACGTCGTAACGTAACATGGGTAACAGGTTAGGGTTAGGGGATAATTTTTTTCCAATTTTCCTTATTTTAGTCCTATTATCAGTTCGAAAATTAGCCAAGAGCCTCCCGTAGTATTTATAGCTGAAATTATGGCCTAACCCTAACCTGGTACAGATATTACATTCCGATGTCCGCCATCTTGGTTCGCATACTTCGGGAGCCCCGCGCATTGTTAGGAGACAATAAGGCTTGAAGATGAATTTCCAATGTTTAAGAATTGCTTGAAGATGAATGTTATGTCGCGTATGATTGTTGCGTATTTCATGTTTGAGTATTTATTATTATTTAGGAGACTTGTGGCCAGTCAGACAGTCAACAGACTTGATTCTGATATTAAACAAGCGTTTACAAAAAGGTATTTTCAGCTATTCTCTGGCGAATCAGATCAGAGAACTTAATTGTAATCTATATCAGGGATAAAAGGTTTGTAGTAACCAGTTGTTTGGTTCCCCGCGAATTCGCTTTACCAGTAAAAATATGTGTTCGATTTCATTTATTTATTTTTCTTAATTTTGTATGTTATTATTTACCGAATAGTAAAAACGAACTATGGAAGAAGTCTTAGTACAGCGCTTTTAGGTGGAAAAGTCAATCAGTTCAAACTCATTTTGGTTGTTTGAAAAATATATTTTGGTTTAATATGTTGCAATCAACATTGTGTTTGAAACATCATTGTCTTATGGTTGAATATTTTTATGGCGCGATATAGAAATCAATGACATTATTACATGGACGGATATATGGATATAGGAATTGCGCGATTGAAACCTCGTAGGGACGTATTATTTGAATGACGTTGTCATATCAGGATATTAAATAAAATATGTAAAAATGGTTAGCTTATCACCATTTAAAGTACTTGTGATACTAAACTATAGCCATCGCCTTACCTATCTGATTGCAATATATGGCTTAGTATGCCTCGTTTTTTTGTCTTTATACTTAATTGGCTGTGTTGTCCGATTGTGACGTCGTTGTGATGTCATTTTTGGTTGGCGTAGTCACATGGAGACCTAAAATTAAATATGGGAAAATGGTTAGCACACGACCACTAAAAGTACTTGTGATACTGAACCATACCCATCGCCCTACCTATCTGATCGCACTATATGGGTTAATATATAGGTATTGTTTTTGTGTCTTTATACTTCAATTGGCTGTGTTATGCGACTGTGACATCGTAGTAGTGTAATTTTTTGATGACGTAGTTACATGGAAACATAGAAGAAAACATGTAAAAATGAATAGCCCATACCACTAAAAGTACTTGCGGTATTGAACTATACCTATTGCAATACGTGTCTGATAGCAATGTATGGCTGAATATACCTTTCTTTTGTGTCTTCATATCTCAGTCGACTGTATTTTACGATTGTGACGTCGTAGTGACCGCAATATTTGGCTTAATATACCCCGTTTTTGTGTCCCTATTTTAATAGGGACATAGCAATTTCACTAGAACCATATTGGGATTGAGATTTCAGAAGGGACTTAGCCATTTTAGTAGGGATATGGTGAATATCACTATTTTAGTAGGGACATAGCGTACATTGGTATTTTTAGGGATATAGCGAACATATCCCATTTAGTTGGGACGTAGCGGACATTGTATTTTCAGTAGCGACATAGCGGACATAATCATTTTGGTGAGACATAGAGGTCATAGCCATTTTAGTGGGGACAAAGCGGTCATAGCCATTTAAGTATGGGAAATAGCGGGTTAAGTTGGGACATAGCGGACATAACCATTCCAGTGGGGACAAAGCGGACTTAACCAATTTAGTAGGGATATAGCCATTTTAGTAGGGACATAGCAGATATGGCCATTTTAGTAGGGACATAGAGAACATCGGTATTCCAGTACGGACATAGTCATTGTGGTAGGGACATAGCGGGCATACCCCATTTATTTGGGACGTAGCGGACATTGTTTTTTCAGTCGCGACATAGCGGACATAATCATTTTGGTAGGGACATAGCGGTCATAGCCATTTAAGTATGGGAAATAGCGGGTTAAGTTGGGACATAGCGGACATAACCATTCCAGTGGGGACATAGCGGACATAACCATTTTAGTAGGGACATAGCAGGTATGGCAATTTTAGTAGGGACATAACGAACATCGGTATTCTAGTACTAACATAGCTATTTTAGTATGGGCAAAGCGGACATCGGTATCCTTGTAGAGATATAGCGAACATTGCTATTAAAAAAAATATTTCATTGTGTTTCCTTCGACAGATATTCCATGAATTTTCATCCCATTTAAATAAACTTTGTTGGATTCTTTGATTTTAAATAAGTTTCACTCACTCAACATATCTTTTTTATAAATTTTATAATTCATGTCTAACAGCCTCGAGATGATCTTCGTGCGTAAAGATCCTATTGAAGTATTTTATCTATGGCCCATACATGCTTTATCATGCATATCTCTGGAAGTTGCGTATCTTGATATGATATGCTTATATGTGCTTCATACGTGGTAGAATGAAATAAAATCGAAGGTTTATAAGGCGACGCTCGTGTATTTGGACGTGAATCGGTGACGTAAATATACGCTTTTTGTTCAAACCAGTGTCTATGCTTCATCGACATTGTGGAATTTGAATTTTTGTATTGCTGTAAATCGCGTATACTGAAAATTTATTTGTCAAACTCTGTTCAGCGTATCGTCTTGTCTATAATAGGGGTCGTCTTATTTGAATGTAAGCGCATTGGGTGCTCCCGAAGTATGCGAACCAAGATGGCGGACGTCGTAACGTAACATGGGTAACAGGTTAGGGTTAGGGGATAATTTTTTTCCAATTTTCCTTATTTTAGTCCTATTATCAGTTCGAAAATTAGCCAAGAGCCTCCCGTAGTATTTATAGCTGAAATTATGGCCTAACCCTAACCTGGTACAGATATTACATTCCGATGTCCGCCATCTTGGTTCGCATACTTCGGGAGCCCCGCGCATTGTTAGGAGACAATAAGGCTTGAAGATGAATTTCCAATGTTTAAGAATTGCTTGAAGATGAATGTTATGTCGCGTATGATTGTTGCGTATTTCATGTTTGAGTATTTATTATTATTTAGGAGACTTGTGGCCAGTCAGACAGTCAACAGACTTGATTCTGATATTAAACAAGCGTTTACGAAAAGGTATTTTCAACTATTCTCTGGCGAATCAGATCAGAGAACTTAATTGTGATATATATCAGGGATAAAAGGTTTGTAGTAACCAGTTGTTTGGTTCCCCGCGAATTCGCTTTACCAGTAAAAATATGTGTTCGATTTCATTTATTTATTTTTCTTAATTTTGTATGTTAATATTTACCGAATAGTAAAAACGAACTATGAAGGAAGTTGTAATACAGCACTTTTAGGTGACAAAGTCAATCAGTTCAAACTCATTCTGGTTGTTTGAAAAATATATTTTGGTTTAATATGTTGCAGTCAACATTGTGTTTGAAACATCATTGTCTTTTGGTTGAATATTTTTATGGTGCAATATAGAAATCAATGACATTATTATCTGGATGGATATATTGATTCGTCATATTTATTTGGTATTTGGAGCTTTTAGTGCTGAAGTATTTCATACAAATGAGAAAATACAAATCTACAGATTTGACTGAACTTGGATATTTTACTTGTCACAGGAATATAAACCAGTAGAAATCTAGAATAATGTCCGACTCTGAACAACAACAAATCGTTCCTAGTTTGATCGATCATCAAACAGACAAATCTGATCTTACCGACCCAGAAACAATCGAGGCGGATCCAGCTGTTCAACAAACTATCGAGTCGGATATCATTGATAACAATTCCAGCAATGATACCGACGATTCAGGAAACGAATCCCCACAACAACAACAACAACAACAAGGACCTATAATTCAGGACTTGGGTCCTGAGGATGAGATCCATGAAGAGCAAGGTCCAGGACAGGAATATCAAGTTGAGGAACAAGGCGAAGGTGAGAAATGAATATTGGGAGTCTTGCAATACACAAAATCATGAATTTCCCTCTTGTAACTTTTTTATTGGTATAATTAAAACTCCCTCGAAACCTTTAATCGACGGAGATTTCTTATATATAATAATGGTATTTTTTTATGAATCCCACGTAGTATAATTAGTTGAAATGAAAAGACTAATCTTAACCCATGAGTAAGCTCTTTGCGATAAAAGCTTGAAGCCTGCGCATACAGATTCACTCACACGTAGGATAAGTAGGGTACTCCCGGAGTATGTGAACCAATATGGCGGACACCGGAACGTAGTATGTGTACCAAGTTAGGGTTAGGCCATATTTTCAGGTACAAATACTACGGGAGTTACTTGGTTAGCCCCCGAACTCGTGAGTCGTGATAGAACTAAAATAAGGAAAATTGGAATAAAATTACGGCCTAACCCTAGCCTGGCGCACAAACTACGTACGGTGTCCGTTATCTTCGATCACATACTTTGGGATACTATATCACTATATCACGAAAATGCAAATTGAATGCCGAGTCCCTAATTTGACTAGTACGTATATAAGAAAATGGAAAATTCCAAATCTTTCCATGAAATATTAATTTAAGATTTTAGGAAAACTGACTTCAATTAACAGTCGCTGAAACTATTCATTTATTTACATTTACAGGACCGGCGGTTGTTCAGCAACCATCCCAACAGGCGGTTCAACAACTCACAGCAGCACAAGGTGGACAAGCTGGCAATGTTATAGAATATCACGTTCATTATTACGGGGGGACGGTTTATCAAGGCTCAGTAATAAAAGGAGACATCGTGGGGTGAGTAGTCAGCTTTGATTCTGAAATGGTATTTCAAGAATTGAAAAATCCAAGCATTTGCCGCTCTTGCAATATTTTTTGTAATTCATTAGAGATGTACTTTTTTTTATTCTCAAGTATATATTTTGTATATGTTATAGGTAGAAATTACAGACAATTGCTAAATACGTACAGAATGCTTTATTTAAAGCAAACATTATATACGTGGATATGCACAGAGGCTGTACTAAAGGCTTTGAGATTAGAACAAACAAGTGGCGGCATTTCTGTGTGCGAAATTAATGACGCGTACTAATGCAAACATTATCGCTAGTCGAGTCTGGCATATCCTGCGCCACTATTAAAAATAAAAAATATTAAATTAATATTAAAAATATTAAAATAAAATTACAATTTCCAGCCAAATAATATTCACGTCCTAAAAAAGTTCCAAAACAGTGAACAAGTAGTTCTGAATGTCTTGTTATGGGAGATACATATCAAATGATATGCATGTCAATAAAGCGACTTCAACTCACCCAAATTAATACATCTGATACATCTAGTATGACGAAGAGCGTACAAAACAGACTATCTATATTAATTTTATTTAAATTTATTTTTTATATTTTCAGGACAAAAGCTCAAGCAAAAGGTGCAACAATTGGATCTATTGGTGGTACGTATTGACTGAAATTGAGTGAACTTGGCCAAAGTGAATCAATGACCAAATTTCAAGCAAAATTTGAATTAAAACAACGATCGTTTTCAAAAATAATTTCTAAAATAATGGCCTAACCTTAATCTGTTACCCATACTACGGGAGTACCAAATTTTGGAATCAATTCGTCCAATATTTACGTAGGAGCGATTTTTTCACCTGCAATAACTTCAATACCTGTTCATTCAATATTATCCCGGTCATATGCTGCAAATTTAAAATATAATATATTTGTTTCAGGGTCACAACCTTCTGCAATCGGTGGCCCAGAGGGACAAGCAGCTTTAGCCTGGCTTGGTGAAGGAGCATCTGGTAGTTCTCAGGTACCTGCAATAGGTGGTCCCGAACAACGACCTGCTTTGCCTTGGCATGGAGAAGGAGAAAGAGGAGGTTTGTGTTAGATTTGTGGAGATACATCCAACTTGCGTCAAATTTTGAACCGTTCAATATGGCAAAGCTATTGCTATATTAAAAATCATTTACTATTCCAAAATTTCTGTATTTTTACGAAACGATGTCCGGGCTTTTAAATCGTTAGACTTAACTGTGTAAGCATCGCTCATTAGAAAGTTCAAGTTTTTGAAACCGAAAATGAAAAGGACAAAGTAATCAATCAGGTTTTATTGTCTGGTTTTCAAAGCCAAAGTATTTTTTATCACCCAGAGAGTCATTTTCGAAATAGTTTGTAGCCGGTTGTAATTTTTTTCAATTCCACTGCCTCGATCTAAAATTAGCCGTCAGTCAGTAAATTGACAGCCCATTGCTATAGCGTTACGTCCAATTATTTTCAATGCTGTTTTTGTAATAGCGCTTCATCCTGGTAGCAATCAACCTCTCGCATTGCCTGCACCAGAAGCGCAGTCTCCTTCATCAGGGAACGAACAGCTTGGAGAGATCGGGGCGACAGTGCCAACCGGTGAACCAGAAATATTGGCTTCAATAAAGCCAAAGAAAAAATCAAAGAAAAGGCCAAACAGAGGAGGTGAAAATAGCATTGTTATACCATAAATACCCTGAAGGTTTTATCGCCAAGTGGTGATTCAAGTATTTTTAGAGAGAGCAAAATTCTAAACTCTGCGAAACCTTTGAAATTGTTATTTGAAATATCATTTCCGAGTATATATTGTAGGCCTTCTAAATGCCTACAAAGCATCTCACAGAACCTTTCAGGTGAAACTGAAAAATGTTAAAAACATGTCCAGCAGTTGAAAGAGAGGCAATTTTGCCTCGAAATAAGTCAAATACAATTGTTATGGTTGAAAGGTTCTTTCTCAATGTTCCGACTTCTCCGTCAATTATCTTTGATTTGAACGGTTTCTGACCATCACATGAATTTTAAAGGAATCATATTTTAACACAGTTTCCCGTCGTCGAATTAATACACAATATAATTCTTTTTTAATAGTTAATTTGGATATGATGCAGATGATCGTGTGATTTTTGTTATTTTACTACTTTTTTTATTATATCCAGGTTCCGATCGAGATCCAGAGCCTGTTCCAACTCCACGTTCACCTGCTGAAAGAAGTTTCGTTGACGAAGAGACATTGAATCCCAACGTAACAACACCTAAAGTAGTTGGTAAGTAGCAGAAGTCGATATAAGAATATACAGGGAATACACGGGGGATTTGTTTTGTGGTCCAGGTCATATTTGCAGTCGTCTAGTATGAAATATAGTGATATATGATATAAAACCTTATATCAAATTGATGTCGCCTGTCGGTTCCCTGACAGAATGACCCCTAATAAGAAGAGTCCCAAAATTACCAATCAGTCTTAAAATCAAACCTTTTATTCATCTTACATCCGATAAAACATGTTTCCATGACTGGAATTGAACTAATGAAATTTTTGATGAAATGCCCAATCTCCTGGATTTATAAAATGCTTAAAAAACGTAATGGCAGTCTAGTGCAGGGGTGGGCGCGGTTTTCAGACTAGGGGCCAACAGTTTTGCCTACCTGGACTGGCGGGCCATGTATGTGTGACGTAAAAAGTTACACTTTATGAACAATATTACAGTGTTACAAATGCAAAAGTGGGAAACAATAAGCCAAAACTAAATTTTGAGCCAAACACGGGCCACTTTCAACATCCCCAAGTTTTGAAAATTTGGGATCGAGTGGCCCAGTATGTATGGAGAAATAATCATAAAACATATTCCCATGACTTGAAAAAGCCAAATTTCCGATGAAGTGTCTGACCTCTTGGATTTATAAAAATGTTGAAAGGAAGGTAATGACCATCTAGTGCTTTAAACATTCTCAAGTTTTGAAAATTTGGGTTCGATTAGTCAAGTAGGTATGGAGAAAAACCAATTTGATTAACGGGTTTATTTCGTATTCAGTGAAGCATCAATAACAAGGAATTCAGAATACCCAACTAACAAATATTTTCTCGTCAGTTGCTCATAGAGTTGCAATATTTTAAAATTTATGCGTTTTCTGAATCATGATATATTATATAGTGATTCTTATGAAAATGACTCCATTAGCCGTGACGTCATTAAATTCAAAAATCCTTTTAATTATAGCTTGAACGTAGAAAGTTGGGAGACCGAGTTAGTTGAGATGTAAACATTACACTTCACTTTATTCTGCTTCAAATTCAAATGCTTGATTTACATTCAGGAAGCCCCACTGCATCAAATCCAGAAATACCGGAAGCATTTCCACTAATTCCACCTGAGCCTTCAAATAGGCGAAATGCAAACGAAACATCTGGAGCAAGACCAAAAACAACAGGTAGAAATATCTGGTACTCCCGTAGTATGTGTACCAGGTTAGAGTTAAGCCATAATTTTATTCTGATCTTATTTTAGTTCTAGTTGAGATGTTTTTGGTAAAATCGCCAAAATCAATTTTCAAATATTTTTTATGTAGATTAGATTTAGACTTGATCACTGCTCAGCAAGTGACAACTTTGTGAATTGGGTTGTTTGCTTTGCAGAATCTAGCTGTTGAAAAAATAAAACAAGGTATTAGTGAGAGCAAGGGTGGGCAAGATTTGGGCAGGATTTGGCCTGCGGGCCGTAGTTTGCTCATGTCAAAGTTAGAGAATATTGCAAGTATTACGAACCAATGTCATCAATATTTCAAAAAATAAACAAAAACTTTTTTTTTCTTTCGCTTCTCAATATAAAATACTTCTTTATTTGGCTTTGACCTTCATTACGGTCTAATCATTTATCAATTTCAACCCAGGTTCGAGAAATCCAACGTCTCACCAACCTCGGCCATCTTTGAGACCGATATCCCAAGCTAAAGTTCAAACACATCAAAGAAATGATCGAAGACTTCCCCCAACAAATTATGCACGTTCAGGGAGTGCAGGTTGGTAATTTGATTTGCTGAGTATGTTTTCATTCGTATCTCTAGAGCAGTGCTCGTCAACCGGGTGTATAGTACACCCTAGGGCAGGGCTACTCAAAAATTACTACTCAGGAAATTCAAAAAGTGGGGCTAATGATCCAAAATAAATAATTAGGTGCGGTCCAAATCCAATACTCGAAAGGTCCGAATTCGGACCGCGGTCCGCCAGTTGAGTAGCCCTGGGTGTACCAAGAATGATAAAGGATGTACCACGTCGATAGGTTGTACCAGGGGTGCATTTTCCTATGCGAGCTTTTTTATTTCCTGTTGATAATGCCAGATCAAATTTTGATCATTTCCTCTAAGAGTTCAAATCTTCCTATTGGCTACAAATCCTTGGGTTTTTGAAATGCGACTTTGGCTCTGGCTCCAATATAAATGTAAACATGCTAGACCCAAGTTCCACATCCCTGTTTGCATTATTATTACTAAATGTTAACCAAATTATTAAATGTTGCTTACAAAAATTTGAAGGCGGCTAATACTAGATAGTTCAGGGGAGCTTTAACTGACTGGAAAGTGGATACATAGATATTTCTTATATTATAGATGCCAGATATTTATCACAATTGGATGAAACAAGTGAATATGAATACAGCGCCGAATCTTTCAATTTTACTGAATCGAGTAAAGGTAAAATGTTCAATCCTTGGACACAAAAAGCCAAACATTGATAAAGGAAACTTTGACATAGGCAATCTCACTAACAACCTCAAATTATCTGTTGGAAATGCCTTTCATTTGAATTTTTTTTTCGAGTTTTTTATTGAAAATGTTGACTCTGATTAACACCATTGGAATTTTAAACTTAAGACCTAGAAAATTGACTCCTAACTCTGGTCTCCGACTGAGTATCAATGGAAACGAGTAATTTAGAAAAGTTACAATTATGTTTTATAATCATGGATATTTATTCTAGAAAGCGACAATGAAAGCACTTTGAGCAGCGTTGGCAGTTTAGTTTCGCATCAGAGATTCAGATCGTATAAGAAATCGACGTCTACGAGAAAAGCAGGAAGGAAATCTCACAGGAGTAAGTGCTATGAGACAATTAAATTCACGTTTGTAGGACAACTGGGGGATCTGCTGAAATATGCGCACCAAGATGGCGTACAACCTGAACTCAGGTTGTGTACCAGGTTAGGGTTCAGGTTGTGCGACATCTTGGTGCGCATACTTCATGAGTACCCATCTGGGAATCCAAATAAGTTGACTCAAACATGCTGATTTGGCAGTTATGCGTTTTTGTGCCTCAGTAACACCAACTTGATTAGACATTAGAATATCTAACTGTGATGTAATATAATATTGCCTATCTGTATATTCTCGTTAACGTACTAACTTGATGCATGTTTATGCAGAGCCTCGTTTATTATATCCAGGAACGAAACTCGGCAAAGCCCATGTATTCAAATATTTGTGATAACAGTCTCGTAATCGGGCAGATTTAGCGTGTAATATTGTGACCAATATTTGTGCTAGCATTGGACGAAAGATAGCGCTCTTGTTAATGTGAAGTTTCTTGAGTTGAAATCTCAAAAAAATAATTTTTTTGAGTTGCTGGGATGTAGGACATAGTATTTTTTTAATTTCTCATCAGAGCATGTAAATTTCTGACATGAGCAGCTTAAACAACAATTCAGTTTGGTGCTCCCAGAGTATGTGAACCAAGATAGGGGACACCGGAATGTAGTATGTGTACCAGGTTAGGGTCAGGCGATGATTTCAGGTACAAATACTACGGGAGTCACTTGGCTAGTCCTCGAACTCGTAATATAACTAAAATATAGAAAATTGGTATAAAATTATGCCCTAACCATAACCTGGTACACATACTAGGTTCTCGTGTCTGTAATCTTGGTTCACATACTTCGGGACCACCTTCAAAAGTTTAACATTGAGTTAAACGCATTTAGGGGCAATGTTCGTGGCACTAACTATAGTTACTTTGGTTTTTATTCAGATTGGATGATTCAAACCGAAAATCCCATGACAGAATCTGAATCCCAAACCAGTCTCGTTCACAGAAGAGATAGAATGAATCAAACGTATAAGAAGCCAACTGACGATACGGAAGCACAGACGGACAAACAACGTACAAGAGACAGACATTTACAAACAGACAATTATAATCTAGATATGGACACTCAGACAGGGCCTAACATTGCTGCACATATCTCAGAACGAGACATTGCAAGTACCGAAATGTTTGTGCAAACGGATCCAAAACAAGCACTCGACAACGACACCCAGACAGCTATTCTACAACAGACAAACACTCCGACACAGACTTCGGTTAAAACTTTCCAAGAAAATGAATTTCAAACCGATCATAGGGAAACAATCGCTACTTTTTCCCAAACCAATGGGGCCGGTTCACACCTTCATACCGCAGACAACAAATTTGAAGAATCCGGTCTGAAAATGATGGAAATTTACGAAAATGAAGGTGAGACACTCATGTTATTTGTGTTTAAACTCATTTAAAAGTTTTGTAATAAGTTCAAAATTAAAATATTAAAAATATCAAAATGTCATAAATAAAGGCCAAAGTCGAAATTTTCAAGGTTCTCTGAAATTTGCTCTGCTTTTTCTTCGTCTTTGCTTCT